GAGTGTCCAGGTGGTGACAGTGCTGAAGCCACCGAGACAGGAAGCTGCAACAGCACCACGGCTTGTCGAGGAGTGGAGAACCGATGCTTCTCCGCCAACAGTGAGTTACTACAGTACCTAGTAAATCTAACCAAAACACCACCAACCAGAAATGACACAAAAAAGAGAAATCCAACCAAAACACCACCAACCAGAAATGACACAAAAAGTATATGTAATGAAGTATAATGATCTTCAGTTAACTCTGTTTACTTACTCAGTACCTGGGCCTGTTTAGTTGAACAAATGATATACTCACAGAAATTGAAGAAGCACAGAAAGATCTTCTTCAGCTCAGAATCTCATTTTTTTTTCTTAGTTTTTGTTAGCCATCTGCTGCCACCTAGTGGAAGAAACAAACAATTCCTCTGGTATTACATCTGTTAGGTCTTCTAGTTAAGTTGATGTTGGTTGATGATGTCACTCAACCAACAGGAGCCTCGGTCAATTACATCATGAATGATTTAACTTTACATCTGGTCGTTTTTATTTAATGTTTTTTTTTTATTTCTTTGAAACAAATCCCTGGTGTCGTTTTCCTTTGCAGTGACCAAAAATAACCTCAATGTCACCGTGCACGGCTGCATCTCCAACAACCTGTGTAACATCCCGGACAACCTCGTCGCTCTGTACACCGATTACCACCACCTGAGGTGCGGCGCTCCGTGGGCGGTCAGGGTCAGCGCCACGCTGCTGGCTGTTTCTGCAGCAGTTTATCAAGTTCTCCTCTAGATCAGTAGTTCACCACCTAGAAAGGTGGTGAACTACTGATCTAGAGGAGAACATTTTTGTTCTGTAATTGCATATTTTAATCATTAATTTCCTCTACGCCACCAGATGTCACTAGTGTCAATGTGGTGACTAAATCTACTTTTATTTTAGTCAGCTAAAAAAAATATTGGATAAGTTGGTTGATTTAAACTAAAATGCAAGTAAATTAAAACAATTTATTGAATTGAATTTTTTTTGACAATTTTTCGGGCTTGTTATTGTTACATGTTTACTTTAATATTTATCTGTTATTTCTTTTGACAATTTTGGGGCTTGTTATTGTTACATGTTTACTTTCTGGAGACACTTTCTAACTTCTGTCAGAAAATAATTTCACCCCGGGGATGAATGAAGTAATTCTGACTGGTTCTGAGTTACTGCTCAAATTAACACTGTTCAAGATATGACCTACAGATGGCAGTGATGCAACTGAAGGATGTAAAATCCAATCAAGGGACATTAAAGGACAGTGATGATGTCACTCAACCAAGATGAAAGGAAGGAAACCTGAAGAAATCAAAGGTGGAGTCGGGGATTTATTTTCACAAGCGCTGTTAAGAAACTTCCCGGCCAAACAAGCGATGAAACAAAGGATCCCCAGACTGTGCTGCACCCAGCCGGAGCCCGTCCCTGTTGAGGAACCAGAACCTCTACCTGTACGGCAGCTGACTCCACCGCCACCATGGAAAAACACGGTCTCCCAGAAGAAAGCGAAAGCTAACAGACGTACGCTGTACGACCCCGAGAAGGCCCGAATGATCGCGTCGCAGCCCATGCTGGTCCGGCTGGCTGAAGACAACGACATCCGGCAGATCGATTATGCGATAAGAGAAACCAAGTGCGACGCCGTTAGAGAGGAGCAGATTTTGAAAAACGCAGAATTAAGGGAATCGGTCGGAAAGGGGTGTGACTTCGACTTCGACGACCCAAACGGCATCAACAGGAAGTTCTGGGACACCATTGACAAGCGAGAGAAGGTGCGCAATGACTTTTTGGAGAAAGAGAGGAAGAATATTCGCAAGCAGTACGGCCACATCATAGAGCTGAAGAAGCTGCGGGAGCTGAAGAAGAAACTCGACAAAGAGAGTATGAGCAAAGTAGATGAACTCAACAAAGAGCACGACCGCAAGGCGAACGAGAAGAAGAAAGAGGCCCAGCAGAGACTGATGGAGAGGATCACCCAACAGAACAGCAAAATCATGGAGACGAAGAAGAAACAGGAGGAGGAGCAGAAGATCATGGACATGAGGGCGATGGAGATCAACCGTCACTACCAGCAGCTGAAGGACGAGAACGAGAGAAAGTGGCGACAGAGGCACGTGGAGAGAGAGAAGATGAGACAGGCTCGCTACGACAGCACCGTGGTGGACCTGAACATGCGCACGCAGGCGGAGCAGGGCAGGAAGGAAATCTGGAAGGCCGATCCAAACGCGGTGAAGTTTGGACGCATCGAAGAGCACAAGGACAAAGTGCTCCAGGAAATCAAGGAGGTCGGGATTCCAGATAAACTGATCTACGGAGCCAGCAGGAAGTCGAACATCATCATCAAGAAGGCCAAGTCTTCAGACCCCAGTCTGGCCCCCTCGGCCATCAGGGTAAACATTTTAGCATGGGAATGAGCCGGCACGCTAGGAATTCTGGAGTTCCTGCTCCACCAGTGTGAGGAACTCTGTCTTTGAACGACCAAGTTCTCTGGACATATGATGAGGAACAGGTTTGGTGTTTTTGTTTTGTTTTTAAAGATGTTTCACTTTGGATTTTTTTTGTTTTGTTTTTAAAGATGTTTCAGGACTGAGGCGTCAACGTTGATCTGTTCTGTACTGACATGGAAGAAACGAAGTTGACTCTTTGACAGATTTTACGCGGTGAACATTTACGTACAGGACATTTGGTGATGTCAGAGAGAAGACTGTCCTGACGGCCCAGAGACAAACATGAAGTGTGATCTTCAGTCTCCGTCTACTGGACTAAACAAAGATGGAGGTGAGCTTGGTGCGGGACGTTCACTGATACGAAGAAGAAGAAGAAAAGAGGAAAATCTATTATGGTCAAGGTTTTGTGCAATTTAATTAATTTGAGAATGGTCTAATTATAGTAATCTAAAATCTTCAAAGGTCATGTCACACACTGGGCTGTGAGTATATTTGATTTAAATAGAAAGTTATTTCAGTTTACAGATTTTGTTTTGTTTTTTTTTGACTCGTCCAATAAAAAAACATCTTGACGGCAGATTTAAAGGTTTTGACAAAAAAAAAAATTAAAGTGATTTTTGTCTTGACCCCACGTACCACTAGAAGGCGCCCGTGTACCATCAGTGGTACATGTATCCCCCACACCTCAGTGGTATTTTGTACTGTAGGAGCTTCAGTAAAGTTTTTCCCATAAGTCTGTGTAAAAAAAAACTAACGTGAATCAGAGCAACGATAATCGAATGAACGGTGAAATTATTGAATCGTTCTTCACATGCGTTAAAATCGTAATCTGATTTATTTATTTATTTTACAAATTAGATAACGAAATTAACGCATTCCTTTTTTAAAAAAAAAAAAATCATTTAAAAAAATGTGTTTGCCCCCACCCCTCAATTTAAGGTTGCAGATCCGGCCATGGCTCCCCCACCCCCCTCTCTCTCCCCCCCCCTCCCTCCCCCTCTCTCCCTCTCTCTCTCTCACCTACACACTCTTACACAGGGCAGCATCCTCCAGTGCTGAAGTCCGACTCCAGTCATGACGACCCTCCTCATCAGCTCCATCATCTCCCCCACTCTGACTCTTCCTCCACGCACGTAAGTAATGCGGCTTTAACGGTGATTAACCTGCGTGTGTGTGTGTGTCTGAGTGTGTGTGTGTCCGATTTCCCCACAACACGACTGTGCACGCGTGTCCGTGTGCGCGTTTACCGCCGCAGAAAATGGCCAGTTTAGCGCCTCTGAGTGTTAGTGTGGAAACATGTCATCGGGATGAGACTCGGCAACAGCGGAGTCTAGCGGCAGAGCAGCGACGCTGCGATGGCCAACAGCCTTTTATCATAGCACAGGGAGAGAAGCTAACATGAGACCGCACTGCGAAGGTAAGAACACCCAGGCTCCGAGTCCCTGCTGCTGCTGCTGCTAATGATGCTGATGCTAATGCTGCTGCTGCTGCTCACTGATGCATGAATGTGAACATCCGGTTCTCCTGACTCCAACATTGATCAACTGTTTATGTGTTGCTGTCTGAGCAGCGGAGGTGATTTAACAGCGTCGATGCGTGTGTGTTGCCTTCAGGTGTCGCTCGGTTTTCCTGTATCGTCTTCTCTGTCCCGGTCAGATTCCCTGGTGTCCAACAATAACAATGACAAGTCCTTGTGAATGTTTTGCCTCCATCTTGCCCCGTACCTGCCCCTGCCCCTCCCCCCCCCCCCCCCCCCCCCGCCCCGCCCCCCCGCGGGGTTGTCTCAGTCCAGAGGACACTCTGGGCCTCGGTCCTCAGACAGATGTGTTGACTTCTGCAGGTGTCTGCTGTTGATGACCAGAACCAGTTCAGACTGGTCTCTGTGTCTCCAGCAGCTCTGACCGGTTCTATGGTCCTGTCTGTGTCCAAGGTTGAGCTGTTTCCTTAGATTTGATCAGATTTTATTTAACCCTCAGAAATGAAGCATAACTATATATATATACAAAGATACAGAAATGTATACAAAAATGTGCAGAAATACAAATGTTAATGTGCAGAAATATAAACAAAACAAGTTTTTATATTTTTATTTTTGCACACCTTCCTTTGTCCTTCACTCATTTTTTTAAATGATTTTTCTTCCCTCTTTATAAGAGAGTCAGTGCAGGAGGATGAATTGATGAAAGTCCTCACAGAGGAGCGAGACTTCTCCGTGTCATCAGTGTGAACACGGCTGATGTAGTGAACGCTATCTTGGTCGGTCTTTGTCACAGCAGCTGGGTGAAGTCCAGTGAGGTGAGGAGCAGCTGTGACGGTGCTGTTTGATTGACGCGAAGGCCGTGAGGAGCTGCTGTTGGTGTGGGTGGAGAGAGAGAGAGAGCAGAGGAGGAGGCTGAGGTTCATGTTTGTTTTTTTACTCTGCACCTGGACAGACACTCGTCAAACCTGGTGAGGAGAAAAGCCTCTGTCCAACAGACAGGACAGGAAACTATGGTGGCCCTGAAGTGTCCAGTAGGTGCTGTGTGGATTCCTTGTTAGAACTGGAGTATTATTTTGTTTGTTTTTGTCTTTTTACCATGTCCAGAGTATTTTGTTTGTTTTTGTCTTTTTACCATGTCTCATAATTTCATTTTTCCCACGTTTGTATTTTTACGTTTAAATATTTTTCTTCCCTTTTTGTTTTTTTAATGTTTAACAAATACCTTCAGTACCCTGAACACGTAGTAGTCAATCTGTTTTTTGTTTTGTTTTTTTAAATATTTGACTCATTGTCGGTTTGAAAATGTTTCATTACGAGACAAAGGAAACGACGCGGCTCTCCTCCTCAGTGGAAGGAAACGTTTGGAGATGTTCGTGGGTGTTAGTGGGTGGGTGTTTTTACTACACCGTTACTAGTGGTTCTGGAGTGTCTGGTGCTACGTTTGCTTTTACACATGCAGCCCTTCCAGAAAAGTCTGCATCAGTGTCGTTGTAGCTGCTGTGTCATATTTACAGCCACAGACAGAGACGTGCGTCGGTGGTGAAATGACTGCAGTCGCTGCTCCGACCGTGAACGACTCGGAGCACGTGTTCTACATGTAGGAACTGTCACGTGATCATGTTAGTGGGACACACAGTTCTCCTCCTGACCTCATTTTCATCCACTTATATTCTCTCTCTCTCTGTGTGTGTGTGTGTGTCAGCCTCCTCCTTGTCACTACTGAACATTTCACTGATTTATTAATTGGTCAAACTCTCTGTGAACGTCTTCATGTCTGACAGTCAGCGCTGGGTTTCACTGATCCCCTGCAGAGGGCGCTATAAATGCAGTTGAATTGCCTCGGTCCATGAGTTTCGTCCACTGCCCCGACAAGTTTGGACATAACTTGAGCCAAGTTTGATACATGAACCAGATGTTTGGCCACAACAGCTCTGCCACCTGCTGGTTGTTTGTTTTTTTTTGTTTTGTTCTTTTGCTAACGGAGTACGATGTTTTCATCATTTCTAGTGAGAATTAGCTCAAAGACTCTGTGATGTCATCACTACAGCTGTAACAAAATATGGAGATGATCCGCTGGATCTTTTCTTCACTGCAGGGGAATTATGGGTAACGCCGACCGTCAGTGCATCAATAAGTGATACCACCATATGATAAAGACATATGGCCCCCGCTGTGTGTGTGTGTGTGAGTGTGTGTGAGAGAGTGTGTGTGAGTACACGGACACGTGTGGGTGGGAGACAGGAAGTGAGGAGACGTGGTGAGTAGGCAGCAGGAGTAGGAGTTTGAGCTGAAATGATTTGACCTCTTCCTCTGATACTGTGGTTGTCCTGAAACTGCACACACACACACACTCTCTCTCTCTCTCTCTCTCTACCTTCTGATTTAATTAATTAAAATTAAATCTCAAAAATGATGACAGATTTATTGCCATGATTCAATTTCAAAGATTTATTTTTTTTGTCTGTTCTTCTCGCAGCTAACTGATGATGGATCTGTTCGGCAGAGGAGAGCTGGGACTGCTGGGAGGGGGAGGGGGCGATGGGCTGAGAGACGACATGGTCGTTCCCGGGATCAGTTGGTCGGCCAATCGGCTGCCGGACGACATGTATCCGTCCTCGGGACTGGCTCTGGCGGCCGCGTATCATGACATCAAGACGCGACTGGCCAGTCTGGAGAGAGAGAACAGCAGCATCAAGAGGAAACTGAAGCACTACGAGATCAAGGTGGAGAACCTCGACACACACACACACACTGACACACACACACACACACGGAGAAGGAGAGTATTTATCATCTCACCTCTTCCCCTCAGTTTCCCATGATCAGTGAATTTGGCGAGGAGAGGCTGGTGTGTTGCTCCTGTGGACCAATCATGAAGGAGACCAGTGTGATCCAATCAGAGACCACCAACCTACAGCAGAGGGTCAACTCTCTGACTCAGGAGGTAAACACTGCCCCACAGTCACAGCCGAACCTGACCGAAAGTGTCTTCCTCACCTGGCTCCACCTGGTGGAACTTTGAAGTACTGCTCCACCGTCAGTGTCCCTGTGCCAGTGCAGCTCGTTACTGTGACATAGTCAATAGTTACCGTAGCGTTGATAGATTTTTACTGTAAGTCACAGTCGATCAAGTTCCTCACATCGAAGCCTGATGTCGTCTCCCCCGTCCTGTAATTGACATTGTTCATTGACTGAGTCATTGTTACCACCGCGGTGGTCTGTGACAGTGACGGTGTACAACTGTTGTTGTTGTTGTTGTTGTTGTTGTTGTTGTTTCAGCTGCAGAAGAGTAAAGAGAGAGAGGAGAGGTTAGAGGAGGTCATCCAGGCGTACGAGAAGATTCACCTGGAGAAAAGCAACGTCCAGAGAGACCTGGACAAGATGGTGAACACACACACACATTACACGAACTTCCTGTGTGGCGGCGGGGGTATTTTTTTATTTATTCTGTTTAAAGAAAATAGCAGTTTTGTAGAAACTACAGTGTTTGAATGTTTTGACTGTCACAGTGGTCAAGTGGTTGGCACTCTCGCCTTACAGCAAAGAGATCACTGGTTCAATTCCCAGTGATAATTAACATTGAAGTTATTAATAACCTAATCTGGTCGCCGTGGTTGTGTGGCCCTCCGATGAGATGGTGGTGTCAGCAGAGCCCCCCCCCTGCCCCCCAGTGTGAGACCACACATCACAGTGCTGTGGTTTGGCAGTGTGCGTGTACTCAGTCCAATGTCTCGTGTGCTGGTGTCAGACCACTCTGGCGGAGCAGCACATGGAGCGGATCTGCAGTTTGGAGTCGGCTCTCAGACAGAGAGACACTTCCCTCCAGAAGCTCAGCGCGCAGCTACGCAGCAAAGATGCCCAGCAGCCGCCGGTCCACGCCAGCCTGGACGTTCCCAGAGGTGCGTTCTGGTAAAACAAAAATCCAGTTGTTGCAGTTTTTTTTCAGAAAAAAAAATTTTCAAAAAAAAAAAAATTCAGAAAATTTTTTCGAAAAAAAATTCTGAAAAAAAAATTTTCTGAAAAAAATTTTTTCAAAAAAAGTTTCTGAAAAAGAAATTTTCAAAAAAAAAATTTTTTTTTTTTAAATTTTTTATTCTAAAAAAAAGTTCTAAAAATTTTTCTGAAAAAAAAATTTTCAAAAAAAAAAAATTTCTGAAAAAAATTTTTTCAAAAAATTTTTTTTTCAGAAA